AATAAATCCGCGCGTCGTGGTTTCGCAATTTCCGATGTTTTTCCCACGCATACCTGTTCTTCGGTCATCCACTCGCGTTGATCGCTTCCGAGAGATATAAGACGATGGTCTTTGTCACCTTCGGTATCAGCAGTGTTGGGAGAACCTCCAGACAGAGAGACTTGCTGATGACTGAGAAGAACAAGCTGGTGCCGGTCGCCAAGAGGTGCGGCACAGACGCTTGCTGCGCAGACCAGAGCGGCGGAAGCGAGAACGGACGAGACGCGCATGGTTATAACGAGAGACGAGAGGCAGAGAAAGAAAGACGTGTATGAGGACGGGAGAGACGAGACGAACTATGTGTTGCTATGAGGGTGTGGGATGGTAGGTGAAGCAGCTGCAGACGCGAGCGGAGTACCAAACAGTCCGTCCGCCTTGTTCGATTAGATGACGAGAACAGGTACCGGTACCCGTGACTTGCGCGACACGCGAGGCACAAACGTCGCGTGGGCAATTAGCGCCATGCTTGTCATTAAACAACTTCGACAAGACGTCACCTGCCTTGCTAGTGGAACCAGCCCCCAGCCCCCAGCTCAGGATGCTCAGGGAGGCCGCAGATCATCTTGACTTGCTTTTGCTAAGACTGCAGCCACCCCACGACGCTGCCCTCTCTCTCCTCAATGCGGCACCGCCGCATTGCTCATTGAATGCTCGATCAAATAATCATGCCCCATCTCATCGTACATTGCGCGCGTCACGCCCGAGGCCTGAAATTCAGACGGCGATGCCGCCGATGCCCACTTTGACGCTCCGCGCCACGGGTCCAGCACCGGGTCTTTGGCCCGCGTGACGCGCACTATGGATTGGAACGGCTGCACGGCGCGAGTGTCGGCCTCGATCCGCTCGGCCATATTTTTCAGAAGGCTAGTGCCGCCGGTGAGAAAGATGTTCTGCAAAAAGAGGCCAAACCGCGCGTCAGGATATTTCAGCGCGAGGACGCGCAGACGCGGCCCGTCGTCCATACCTGAACCATCTTAGCCTGCTGCCCAGCATCAAACCGCTTCAAAATCTCATCCAGCGTCTCCACCAAACCCGCCTGGTCCAGCCCAACAATGCTCGGCTGGAACAACAACTCGGGAACCCGTATGCGCTCGACATTGAGATGAATCTCGCTCTGGATCGCGGGCTCGGTCAAGTCCACCGCATGTGTGCCGTGAGCCAAATGATAAATGACCGTATTGCTGAACGGCCGCCCGCCGTCAAATGGGTTTTCGGGTACAAACTCTGGGTCGTGCGTAAGAAGGACTTGGTCGAGTTTGGCTAGCTCTGCAGCGTCGTTGTCTTCATCAGAGTCGTCTTCTTTACTCTGTAAGGCAAATACAGAAGAACCATATCCTGAGTCAGCGCGCGCGAGACACCCCAGCCTTTCGGGCCGAGCGGGGATCGCTTACAATTTCGCGATAGATTCCCCAATCGTCGTCATCGGCGCCAAAGGTGTCCTCTAAATCGCAGGATTTAGCGTTTAGCGCGTGGGTTGCAGTCGTTTTAATGTGGAAAACACTTGTTTTCATACCATTATTTCCACCACGTTTCCGCTTGATCGGCACCTCCTCTGCAGCCAGCGAGGCAATATTTCTCATGCGCTGCTGCGATTCCTTGCTGCGGCGATCTGTGAGTTTGGCTTTTCGCCGGATACGAGCGTAAATCCTGTTCAACAAGATCTGCTCAACATCGCGTCAGTCCTTTCTAACAAGCATGGTTTGCACAGTCTGTTCATACCTGTCGCTTGTTTCGATTCTCATCCAACCAAGCTATCGGGTCAGCGGTGCGGCGCTCTTCATCTTGCCGTGCCAGAGCCTCTTCCCGTTTCTTCTCCTCCTCCTTTGCGATCCGCGTGCGTTCCCTGGCCTCCCAACCGGCCTTCATGAGCCGCTGTCGCCGCTTGTCCTTTTTCTGCTCATCCGTGAGTTCGGAATCCGGAGTATCCACTAATGGGAAAGTTGGAATGACCTTAGACCGAAGAACCCCCGGTTAACTTTACGGAATGGAGCAATGCACAAAGCGGAGGGGTGCCCTGCCTTTTCTTCAGGTTCCTCGATCCCTTCCATCCGATTTCGCGAACGCTTCACGGCCAATTCAGTGGTTTTGATCGCAGATTCCAGCTCTGCTTCAGTTTCAAAGCCAGCGGCGTGGAGATGTCGCTGTTAAGAATCCTTCGAGTCAGCACTTCAAAAAATTATAGTTTTGCGAAACTACCAAATGTATTTGCCCGGAAGATAGATCCAGCTTCTTTGTCTTTCTCAGCGGCAAGCTCCTTCATTGAAGCGAGGTTTGCTTCCTTTTCGATCAGCTACCAACAAAAATGGATCGAAAAACAGAGAACGAAGCGACGAAGGGTCAGAGTGGTCCTCGATCACGACTCTGGATTGCACGTATGCCATCACCTTTTCCTCACGCATTCGCATGGCCTGTTCCTGCAATCGCTTTCCTTGCTCCTTTCGCTTTTGCAGCTGCAGCGCTGCTTCGGCGGGATCGATCTCATCCGCGACCTTATATTACGGCAACCAAAGAATGGGTGAGCCAGCCGGTTGCATTGCGTTAGAATGTACACCCGCGTGTGAGTGTCTTACCTTTGTCGTGAATGGAAACTGCAGCACATGCGTCTGCGCAGTTACAACTTTCGGATCTCGCAACCCGCGCAGCTCTTGCGTATAGTCAAGCGAGACATACGTGTGGTTCTGGACGAAGCCCTGTGTTTGCTCTGAAGTCACGCGATGTGGGAAAGTCGGGTATTTAAACTGCAGCAGCTTGAGCATGTAGTCGGACAGATACTGTCCTCCGATGCCGACTCTGTGATATAGCGAACAGGGAACGAGAATCACCCGTCAGAGAGAACCTATTGTATTCATCCACGCAACGCAAAGACAGTGGACGCGCGTAAGCACGTACCGCTTGGCATGTTGAAGCCGCCCGCGGCCGTCATATAGGGGTATCACATGCGTCGCAACGTTTCCGGCGTCAACCACGATACCGGCGTCAAACGAGCCGTTGTTTTGGTAATAGCTGAAGAGCGAGTCCACGCCATAGACAACAGATGGTATGCCGTAGCCTTCAAACAGCAGCTCAGAGACCACTGTGGGTCGCATATATAAAAGAGTCAATATCCCGCTCGACAGGCTGGCTGTCGAAAGTTGATGACGCACTTAAGTACGCACGACATACATCGACGACTATACGCAGGATTGCAAAGCGTTTCTGTCATCAGTATCGGATGCGCAACCCTGTCCGTATCAATTCCCAGCTTGCTGAAGACATAATCCAGAGTCGTCTCCTAGCAAACGCGAGGCCATTTTTCAGCTTTCCAAACTACCGTAAATAGCATGCAGCATGCAGGAAGACTCTCACCAGCGTCGCAGCGTTGAAAACTACGCCGGCTTCGAATGCCGACTTGCTATTAGAGTTCAGACCGCCTATATGCACATCGTTTCCGACAAGCATAGCGTCCATCTGCTTTGCTTTTCCCCCACCACGGTACTTTGCGATGATGTTATTAAAATGCACTGGAGAATGTACGGGACCAGCTGCATGATCAGATTGGATTCAAGAGAATTGACGGGGCTAACGCACACGAGCGTCTGCCCGTACATTTTGGGTCAGAGTCTGTCGCCCAGCCGGCACGCAGTGAATGTGAGCCATTATCGATGACGAGCGGGGTATCTGGGCCACAATCATATGCGTATGTCGGGGTATTGGGGTATGCCTGACTCTCTGGCAGCGAGAACGTTTCTGAAGCTGTCATTGCAGAAGATATCTTGAGAAAAAATCCAAGGCAAGGCGAGGGCTTGGGAAACGTCACGAACGGCGCAGCTGCCAAGCTCCGTTCACCGCCGACCGGAGTCAGCATAGACAGCTTGCCGGTCTTTATACCAGACACCCTCGAGAATAGAAGAGAGCATCCCTAATCAGAAGGATGAAGGCCGTATGTCGTCGTCCCGGAACTGAACGGCCGCGGTCATGTGGGCGAATTTAGGGCCTACGGCGAACAGGACGGAAGAGCTGTCATTTTCACCGCTGAAGGTCAAAAAACCTCCTGGCCAGGGTTTGCGATATACACCAATGCTGGGCCCCTCTCCTCCACGCCCATTTGCGCCGTAATTCTGGCCCACGTGATGGTGGACGAATGGACCATCGAATTAGTAAACCGAAAGGTAAAAGCGCTCCATAATTTCATCAACACCCGCTACGCCGCGGAACACCTCTATCAGTACCACGACTCTATCAGCCAAATGCAACAGCAGGATATCGAAGTCACTCTCGGTGAAGAATGGATCACTACCACATGTCGGTGTTTCCAGGCTTTCAAGCCGCCGTTAGACCCGCGCACGCTCTGCATGCCCTAGCATTCCTCAAACCTGTTCCTCTTGAAATACAGGAGCAGATCTGCGCCTGCTGTCGCTGGATGATATCTCCAACCTCTGCGGGTGACAAATTTACCCGGGCTTATCTGTCGGCGACTCCTGCAATTTGACTTTGAAGGAATGCTCTTGCACGCGCTAACATGCTGCCGGTCTGGTCAAACATCGAACTGGCAAACGATGAAAACAAAATCGAAAGGGAAGATGGAGGCCTTCGTCTTTGCACGGCCGACGATTGTGAGGATTATGCCAAGATCCATTACGTTCGACACGCAGCGGAGTGTCGGGCCTCACCTAACATAAGGAACCGGCGTCGAGTAAAATCGCCAACCAGATCTTGCGATCTCACGCATGGCGATCAGCAGAAGAAGGAATATGCAGAAATAGGATACAGCAGGTTAATACAAAGAATAGAAGAACCAAATAGAATTGCATCGTACGGCTGCTACAGTATGATGGCAAATATGGAGCGGGCCGTAATCGACGTGGCTGACTTGCGTCCACTGTACCGTACGTACTGTCCTCACTGTCCAGTATCCCGAGCAAACACATCCAAATGTCTGATCCGACGCCTGTCGAAAAAGAAACGGAAAAAATCAAAAACAGTGAGGACTGTGGGATTCGAACCCACGCATCTTTCGATACTAGAGCCTAAATCTAGCTCCTTAGGCCTCTCGGACAAGTCCCCTTTGTGAAGAGAGACAATAGAAAGCATGCACATGTTCCCTCATTGTATCCCGGCGTATCGGCCAAACTTGCTTAGTGATGTCGCAAATGTCTTGTGCGTCCACAGAAATTGAATTCATCGAAGGACGTACATAGGAATATAGAATTCAGCAAAGAAGACAAGAATTTACAGTGGCGGGGCGCATACAGAGGTCCCTTTTAAAATGAAAAGGGGAGTTGGACCCAGATCCGGGAAGGAACAACGTGAGAAAAACGAGAAAGGAGGGAGGGGATTGTGATGATATCCGGATATTCGAGGCGCCGCCGTGGGTCAGAAAAGAGGGGCACCACCAGTAAGATGTTACTACTGATGCGGCGGACCACCCGGAGGAGGACGGAAGCCAGGAGGAGGAGGTCCGGGGAATCTGGTCAAAGTGCAGCCAATTAGCTTTGGCAATTCAATGCTAAAAGCTGTTTGCAAGCCTAGCATACCCTGGTCTCGGAGCCATTCCCATTTGCATACCCATCGGGGGCATCGGCGGCCTGAATCCAGGAGGAGGAGGACCACCCTGCGGATAACAATCAAGTATGACAATTAGAAATGCGTTTCGACGCTGGAAAACACAACGGCAGGCAACATACCGGCGGAGGACGGAATCCTTGAGGGGGCATAGGCATACCACGTCCGAACGGAGGCATGCCGGGGCCTCCCATGCCCGGAGGAGGCATACCCGGCCGGCCCATACCCGGAGGTGGCATCATCGGTCTGCCGTACTGAACCGGCGGGGCACCGCGACCCATCTGCGGAGCCATCATTCCAGGCGCAGGTCCACCAACGCCACGAACTGGCCCGGCAAGTCCCATCGGCGCCGCTCCTGCAGGAGCCATTGGCAGCCCGCGTCCAGCCGGACGTGCCATTCCGGAGCCCGTCATATTTGCTGCTGCCTTGGCCCTTGCATCGTCTGCAGCCGGAGGCGGGGACTCGACACTCATGCTGACTATCGTTTCGCCTCGAAGAATAACGAGACCGAGTGTACGCTTCTCTTCCCGCTCGGCTTGAACTTCCCCAGGCTTGCCCTTCGCCTTGATCTTGCGGAATTCTTCGCAGTCGGCAAGCACCATGTTCATGTGTTTGTCGAACGCAAGCATCTGCCCGATCAGCGTCCGGCCGTCCTGGACGGTAATCCGGAGCCGGTAGTTCAGCAGGGCCATGATCTTTGAGTTCCTTGAGATAGACTGCGAAAGGAAAAGCAGTGAGGAAGATGTCAGTTTAAATTTACACATGCCTTCCAGCAGCCGGGACGAGGTGCCCAGCATGTGGACGGATCTCGCAATTAGGAAGCAGGTTCATACCATGGCTGATGACCGGCAGCGCAAGCTTGCACGGAGAAGGGTGAGATGTCCAGGTGGGACCTTGAGCGAAGTTCTGTGGTTCGAGTGTCACCGTGGCAACAAACCGATTTAATGGGACCCCCCGGGTACTGTTACATCCTGTCACCCGCTCTCCCTCCACTGCCGGCCGGCTATACAAGTGCACTCTCCGTCCTTGTAAAAAACCACTCAAGCCAATTTGCAGAGACTGTCAGCCCGCTGTTTCCTTCAGAGATCATATTGAATCGCCGCAACGTACTCTAAATGGAAAAAGTTGACAGCAACGCGCAGGCATAATATGGAGAGCACGCAAATCTGGCGGTTTCTTCACATTTCTGAGTTTGCAAAAGCCATGTAAGATAATTAATGAAAGTTCTATGAGATGTCCGACAGTCCACGTGAGGTCTGTACTCAAGCGGCAAGCAAGTCGCCGTCACTACCACCCACTTTTTCTGCAATTCCACCTTCAGTTTCTATTTCCACCCCACTGTCGATCATTTGGGTCTGCCCTGTTTAGCGATTCAGAGCTCAACGAGCCAGCGTTAGAGCCCTTCCGCGCAAACAAGTTTGTGAGGAACTTCGCCCCACTCTGCCCAGGCTGCTTATACTGCTGCTGCTGTTGCTGTTGCTGCTGTTGCTGCTGCTGCGGGAAAGTGTACGCAGGAGCCTGTTGTTGGTAGTTCTGCTGCTGTTGCTGCCGTTCCATCTCTTGCTGCACTGATGCCTGGGCCTGAGCCCGCGCCGACGCCCGCGCGCGCTCTTCCGCAGCTGCAGCGCGATCCGCCTCTTGCCGCGCACGTGTCGAGCTCGCAACGCTCTGCTCGCGCCAATGCACAAACTTGCCCGCGGTAATAGCTCGAATGTCATCAACGTGGAGGCTCAATACCCGCGTCTTTAGAGCTTTGAACTCGTTGATCTTTTCACCACTGCTGTAGTCAGAGGACGAGCCGTACCGCTGTTGTTGTTCGTGTTGCGCGGGATTGCTGACGCTGAAGGGAACGGCACCGGGAGTTCCTGCACGCGCAAGGTTGATGCATTCATCGAGCTCCATTCCAAAAGTGTAGATGTCGATATTCGCCCGCTTGACCTCTTCAAGGACTGAGACCTTTAGGCGGAAGAGCTCCGCAGGCGACATGGTGTCTGCTTTCAGGATCACGGGGCATATCGCGACATAAGGAGCCAGCCGCTACAAGATGGGTGGAAAACTTACTTAGTAAATGGCAGCGACGTCACTCAGTACCCTACAATTACCTTCATGTACTCGATGTCAACCGGCTTGGCGCGGTGCAGAATTCCAAAGATCAAAAGGTCCACATGCGTATGCGCGCCATTGGGTGAAGTCAAAAACCGGTGTAGTAGTTTTGAGTCCATTTCGTGTACAAAAACGCGGTCCGTCATTGCAAATTGTTGCTGATGATACTCGACAACGGGTTTGATTGTCGCCATTGCGTCCATTTGCGCGCCAAACCCAGGAGTGTCCACGAAGCGGAGGTTAAATTTGTCTTCGTCGCCGGCCAGTATGTTAGATGATGACAGTAATGGGTCCGGGAGCGTCGATGCTTGGAAAAGCTCTTCCGTAGTGAAGTCGGGAGTTGTGGCTGGCCGGAATGCGGTAATTTCCGGACTTCCTAGGAATTGGCGAATAAGAGATGTCTAAAGTGATGCCATGAGTTCATGTCCGTGGTCACATTCGCTGAGAAAACTTGCATCGCCCTCTCACTGACATACCTTTCCAATTCCTGAATCTCCCACAATAGCGAATTTAAGAACGCCAATGGACGCAGGCGTCCGCGCCCGCGCAGTCCTGTCCGATACTATCTGCAACATCTTCTTCTTGGCGAGTGCGGCGCGTTCCTCGATAATCTCCTTTGTGAGAATCTCGGGTTCCGCACGAGAAGCCGCCATGACAGCGTGCGCAAATGAGCTCACAGACGGTGCGCGGTTGGCATACGCACGATTGGGGTCTTCTGCAGATAATTGTGCATTATTTCCTGCGCGGTCGGCCCTTAAGTCCGCCGCGCCTGCCGGTAGCGGCGGCGGCGTAGTAGGCTGCTCCGCCTTATGCCCAGGAAGTGGGAGAGAACCAGTGGCATAGCTCTTCTGTTTTGCACTGTCATAGGCCGCGTCGCGTGGCCGGTGATCAGCGGATTCTGTTCGCCGATGACCTGCGTCCTCAGCCACCGGCGGAGCTAGCAAAGTAGCCGCGGAGGAGGCTTGATGTAACTGCGGTTGCTTGTCACCACCACCTCCGCCTTCGTTTGACCTATCAGCATACTTCATATACTGCTCCTTTGAATTTGTCAAAGAAGACATGCGCTGTAAAGTCCTCGGTCCCGCTCCGTCGTCCGAAGAGACATTCGCGAAAGTATTCGGCTTCTTATCCGCCGCACCAGTTACTGGTACGGATACTGGCGCAGATGAGGATGTTTGTGTCGGCGGTGGCGGTGGAAGGGCTTTTTCGGGAGCCAGAAAGTTGAATGGCAATAGCCCTTTTGCGTCCGTCGAGAGGTTGTGGCCAGTGACCCACCCGTCGTCGTACGCCTGCACAATAACGACGACGTCGCCCGTCACCAGCTTGATTTCATCAGCGTAGACTGGCTCATATGAGGAGATCGCGGTATACCGCTTTGCTGGAACAGCAGCGTCAGACATTTGCGTTTTGGCAGCGGTGGCGGGGTGGCTAGGTTTATGCTCGCGAAGGCACCTGCGCGACAGCAGAGTTTGGCGCGGAGGATGCAATAACACACAGCGGCGGTTCCCACGGACGAGAGAATCGGACTGTCGCTTGCCGCAGGCGGTCCAGCTATCACGGTTTCAGGGCGAACGAGGCCGACGTTAGATGCCGAGCAGGTTTTGACCCGAGAAAAAATCAATGCCGCGCGACACGCCCGGGTCCGGGACCACCGTGACGTCCACACCAGCGCCTTTTCTCAGCATATCTTTTTTTCTCAGAGCGAACTATTCTCTTGGCCCACAAAAGTGCTGCTTTTCCGCTCACCTTGCAACGGCTGTTTGCCACATAAAACATAGTAACTTAGTGTCTTAGCGAACTCCGCAACATGGGACTGGCGTCCTCACGCCTTCAGCCAGAGGAGCTGGAAGACTTGCAGTCTATATCTAACTGTAGGTGCTTGTCGTACGCGCGGCCTTGACAAAAATATCGTGACAGCGTGTGCTCAGTTTCTTTATGGATGCTTGCGCAGTCTCTGAAGCCCAAATCAAGACTCTCTACTCTCGCTTCAAACACCTCGACAAGGACAACTCAGGTTCAATATCAATCGAGGAAATGACAGCGATTCCCGAACTTGCTATGAACCCGCTAGCAAACCGCGTCGTCGCGGTATTCGATGCCGACGGTCGGAACGAGGTCAACTTCCGCCAATTTGTTGAAGCGTTGAGCGTTTTTTCCAAAAGCGCGAAGCGAGACCAGAAGTTGAATTGTGAGTGACGATAGCAAGATTTGGGCTGTGTTGCCGCAATGTAATTAACGCAGCGGTTCCAGTTGCATTCAAAGTCTACGATGTCAACGGCGATGGTGTTATCGATGGGTCAGACCTGTTCCATATCCTCAAGCTTATGGTCGGGTCTAACCTCACCGACGCACAAGTTCAGTCTCTCGTGGACCAGACCATTCTCGAAGCAGATGTCCTT